CATATAAGATTCTTTTTTATAAATTCTCTTTTCTTCAATATTAAAGATGATAGCAGTCCTTTTCAAAGTAAATTTCTTTCAAGTCTGTGGACTAGACTGCCTAAGGCCACAAGATTAGAAGTTAGGAGGTTAAGGTATTTCACTAAATAGTTCAAGATGTAGCTATCTTTATTAAACCAATATTATTGTTTTGTTTATTTAAAAATTATACAAGCAAAGATTATTCTGTTTGGTCTGAGTTATAATTTTGTAGCCTCTATGCCAAATTTTGACAGCTTAGTATTTGGCAGTGCTAAGTATGGAATTGCTTGATTAAGAAATGCAAATAAAAATGTATCCTGGCAACTCTGAAGACATTTCTAATCTTACTGTACCTATGAGCTTTAAAGATTAAAGTTTTGTGAACTAAAAGGTCTCACAGATTTTGCCTTTTCCTTAAAAAATATTTGATTTAAGTGCTTATTTTTCTTAGGCCAATTAATTAGAGCTCTTTTAATAGACATTGCACACATAACACATATATAGTCACGCAGACAACCAGAAGATTCAGTAATGATAAGATTTTTTTTTTTTTTTTTTGCTAATTTCCCAATTGTATTATTGGATGAGACCCTTCAAGAACAGGGCTAGGTGCCAGGCGCGGTGGCTCATGCATGTAATCCCAGCACTTTGGGAGGCTGAGGAGGGTGGATCATGAGGTCAGGAGTTCAAGAACAGCCTGGTTAACATAGTGAAACCCCATCTCTACTAAAAATACAAAAAATTAGCTGGGAGTGGTGATGGGCACCTGTAATCCCAGCTACCTGGGGGGCTGAGGTAGGAGGATCACTTGAACCCACAAGGTGGAGGTTGCAGGGAGCTGAGATCATGCCACTGCACACTGGCCCAGGTGACAGTGTGAGACTCCATCTCAAAAAAAAAAAAAAAAGAAAGAAAGTAAGGAAAAAAAAAACCAGGACTAGGAAAACAGTTTCCAGGGCCCAATAAACAAGTATAGCTGGAAGACA